TCAGCTCCTAAGTAGACCTGCAACCTGCCCACTTGTCCTCACCACCGCTCACCTGAGGCCCTGTCACCAGGCTCTAGAAATCAAACTGGGCCATGTCCCTCCCCAACTTTCAAACCCTTTTGTGGCTTTGGATTGCCCTTTGGATGGACCTACGCTCCTTGGCCGTGGTCAGGCCCTCAGCGGTCTGGTTCTTCTCTATGCACCTCCCCACCCCAAACTTCCTGTGCTGGCCCCTCCCGGGCCTTAAGTGCCAGCTCCTTCTGCTCACTGTCCCCCTGCCCCACACAGAACATGGATCCTCGCCCAAGCCAGGCGCAGAGCGGGCGGATTCAGGCCCTCAGGTATTCGGGAACAAGGCAGGCTATGCTCCAGAAAGGCGGGGGACCTGCGTTACTGCGCAGCCCGGGAGCCATTCACTCTGCAGTCACGGGCACAGGTGAGTGGTGGTTCCAAGTTCCACCAGCAGGTCCTCTGCTTCCTCCTCCTGCCAGGCCTGGTGCTGGCAGAGTCTGGGCCAGCTGCACTTTCCTTCAGGTCCCAGGAAAATGCAGTTCTGTGTCCCAGTCCCAGAGCTGCAGCTCCAAGCAGCTGCCAGTCCCCTTTCCTGCCCCCACCCCAGGACATGGGAGTCAGGTAGGCAGGGGAGGGGCGACCAGCAAACAGCCTCAGCTAGGACTTTGACACCAAACAGTGATTTCCCACCACTAATGAGTCACTAGAAATGACTGGGTTTTCTGTACAACCCACACACAACACCCCAACTCCAGGAGGGCCACAGGGGTGAGGACGGGGAGTTTGAAAGGGGGGCGGCGAGGGGATATCAAGGGGAGACCTGGCCTGAGCTCTGAGCGCCAGGCCAAGCCAAGAGCAAGGAATCCAGGTGAGACGCCTCACACTCTACCGCAGGTCCAAAAACAACGCCCACTAAGTGGGAGGGGGGCCAATCAAATAAATAGTCAATAAAGACCCGAGACTGGCTTCTTCCCCCAGGGAAGCAATGCGGCAAAGAGGGGACCCCCAGTTAGCCCTGGGACGGAGGGGAAATGTCTGAGACCTCAGCCTCAGCTCTCCTGGGAGGTGAGCCCATGGTACAGGGGTCCCAGGAACCCGCTGGCCTGCTGCCTGCTCAGCCAGTCAGGGTGGCTGGGCCTCCGACCCTCACCATCTCAGCCCCGCCTCAGGAGCCCAGTGCCACCCAAACCTTGCCTGCACCTCTCTTTACCCTCCCTGGCTCAAGTGGCCTAGAGGCTGCTGTGGGGAGCTCTGAAATCTGCCTCACTGAGGCCCACTGGGGCAGAGACCAAACCCCCGGCAGGAGCTGCCTGTTTCCGAGCCTCTGGGGAGGGGGTGCTTATCTAGAGCGGAGTACAG